TTCTGTGATGTTCATTTGCCCATTGCCTGTCCAGGAGTCTGGGTCATAGGGTCACTGTCCTGAGCCCCTCTTTGTTCTTCTCAGACTATCCATGTTGGTAAGTGCCAAAATACTTTGGCAGAAAGGATTTTGCCCGTGGTATTGTTTATACCACCAAGGGGTAGCTCTTCTGGTCTCATGGTGGTTCAGTTCAGATCCAGATGTTAGGGCCAGAGCCATCCCAGTGTCCATCAGACATCCTTGGACTTGGGTCTCTCTGAGTGCCTCCCCCAGCGTGTTCATATCCCTTCAGATGTACCGGAATTCTGTGATTGCTCAGTGGAAAGCTATGAACTTGGATGTGCTGCTGACCCCAATGCTGGGCCCTGCTTTGGATTTGAATGCACCAGGCAGAGCCACAGGTGAGGCCCTACTGCCCTTCCCTCAATACTCTCATTTCTCCCTCCCCTCTGAGGTCAGCCCTGTGTGCTGTGGTGCTGTGGGTAGAAAAGGAAGAGTTCTGGGGGAACACCCCTTCCATGGAAGAGCATCTTTCTCCTCACTTGGACCTCACTAGCTTGGTGGCTAAAAAGATGGAAGATGGCTGAGCAGTGGTAGCACACGCCTTTAATCCCAGCACTCGGGAGGCAGAGGCAGGTGGATCTCTGGGAGTTCGAGGCCAGCCTGGTCTATAAGAGCTAGTTCCAGGACAGGCTCCAAAGCTACAGAGAAACCCTGTCTTGAAAAGCCAGAGAGAGGGTGGGGGAGGGAGGGAGAGGGAGGGAGGGAGGGAGAGAGAGAGAGAGAGAGAGAGAGAGAGAGAGAGAGAGAGAGAATGCGTGGAATGCTGGGAGTGGACGAGTTGTCTGTTCTGAACACTATTCGTGTAGGAGGTCTCCTTGAAGAGCCTGCAGTTTGGGGAGGTGGTGTTTGAATCTAGGGGTTTTTTAAACCAAGAATATAGGACCAGCGTTCCAGGTCAGGGAATCAAGGAAGCTGTATGGGAAAAGGCGCAGGGCAAGTGTCAGGGAGTCTTGCTGGCTTCTGTGCTTTGCCACAGACCTCAGGCCTGGGAGAGGGGGTTTTGTGTAACTGTAGAATCATAGTACCATTTTATGTGCAGGATGAGGATGGGTCACTTAGGCCCAGAGAGGACACTTGGCCCTACAGGTGGCAGGGACTGCTACAGCCAGCATCTTGTGTTCTAGGGGCTATCAGCTACACTATGCTCTACAACTGCCTAGACTTCCCTGCGGGGGTGGTGCCTGTCACCACTGTGACCGCTGAGGATGATGCCCAGATGGAGCACTACAGAGGCTACTTTGGGGATATCTGGGACACTACACTGAAGAAGGTAAAGCCTGCCCAGCCCCTAGCTCACTGCTGCCCAGACCCCCTGCTGTAGAGGACAGAGGCCTATCACTTGCAGGCTTGGCCAGCCTTCCTCAGAATAAGCCCCCATGCCTGCCACTTGCCCTCCCTGCAGAGTAAGTGTTTCCTGGACCTGGGGCGTGATCCCATTTCTCCCATTCTGATGTCTGTATCCCCTGTAGGGCATGAAGAAGAGTGTAGGCCTGCCGGTGGCCGTGCAGTGTGTGGCCCTGCCCTGGCAGGAAGAGATGTGCCTGCGCTTCATGAGGGAGGTAGAGCAGCTGATGACCCCTGGAAAGCGGCCGTCCTGAGGGTCCTTGACCTGCCCAGCTCTGGAGGACCTGAGGCCTACGAACTTTGTAGCCCTAGCTATTCAGGATACTACCACCTGTGAGGAAATGCCGGGCACAGGGAAGAAGCATTCACCTGCCCTCCCCTGGACCCCTGCAGAAGCACAGGAATCTCTCCCCCCCAATCAAATTTGGACCTTGCTCCCTTCTCTGGTCCTCTTTCCATCCTGATCCCCTACTTCATGTGGCAGCCAGCAGGAATGGCCTGAGCCAAGGGTCACCAACAGTGAAGAAGCAATGCATTATGTATTTTCTGGGTGTTTCTGTTAGGGTTCTGGAAACCAGAGCCTGCTGAGAGGGCTGGCCTGAACCTCTAGAGCCAGCTGCGATCTTGTCATTCTCCTGCTTCCAAACCTCCCTGATGTCATCACCCACAAGATGGGCAAACAGGCATGTTCTCAGCACTTGACTCTGTCCCTTCCTTTTTTGTTTGGATTCGGCCCAGCTTTGATTGACACTGCCCCAGGTCTTCCTCCCCTCCCTCCATCTCTGCCGATGTGCCGCCGTTTTTACCTTTCCCCTCGGTACTTTGAAGCCCAGCACACATGTCCCCTTTTTTGTCCCAGGAAACCTGTCCTTCCTCTGGGCCACAGAGGGTGCGGGATCTTTCTTCCCAGTCTGTCCTGTTGGTGGAGTGGACATCTGTGGTGGGTTGTCTTCCCTAAGGATACTAGCTCTCCTCAACGGTGGGGACTCCATTTCTCCTATTAGAGACAGAACAGGGCAACAGAGAAAGCAGCTGGGTTGGGCTGCAGGGAGCCAGGTGGGCACACCTGGCCCTGAGCTGGCATTGTTGGGAAGAAGTGCCACCTGTCTGGAAGGAATAAAACAAGGCAGCCTGTCAGAGTTGCTGCCACTGCTGACCAAGGCCTGGAAGGAAGTCTTGCTGAAGGAGGAGGAGGTGTACTGCACCTAGAAAGTTCTCAGAGGCTGAGTTAAGAGATGAGAACATGGAGACTGGAGAGATGGCTCAGTGGTTAAGAGCACTGGCTGTTCTTCCAGAGGACTCCGGTTCAATTCCCAAAACCCATGTGCCAGCTCACAACTGTTTATAACACCATCTCAAGGGGATCTGACATCCTTACACAGGCATACATGCAGGCGAAACACCAACACACATAAAATACAAATAAATATATTATTTTTTAAAAAAACAAAGAAATAAGAACATCCCAGGGAGAAGGGGCAGGATGCCCAAAGGCCAGGGTGAGTTTGGCAATGGCGGGTGTGTTGAGTGTGTACAGGAGAAGCAGAGATGCAGATGAAACCAGATTAAGGTAGTCTTGGATGGCCAGGTGAGGAACTTGGGTTCTTTCTCAGAGGTGCAGGGGTCTTTGGAGGTTATAAAGGTTCATGAAGGAGGGCAGATTGAGGGTCAAAGCCTAGACAAAGAGAAGGATGTGACTTATCTAGGACCTTGTACGTTATCAGTCCCTTCTGCTGGAAGCACTTCTTCGTGTCCTGGTCGCTGCGACTTGTTGCTATCAGAGTTCACCATGTGAAACCCAGGCCTTTGTCTTCCCTGCTGAAGCAACCACGCTGCTTGTGTGTGATGGTTGGAGTGGTGAAGGTCAGCAGTGTTGCGGGGCAGACACCGTGCTGTGCTGAGGCTATAGTAATAGGTGCTGGAGTCCTGGCTCCCGGCCTCACAGAACTTAGGTTATAGACAGGGAGGCAGGCAGGTAGGCAGATGCAGATCCCCGAATGTTTACTGTGTGGAGTAAGCAGGTGACTCTTGATCCTGTGTATGGAACCTGAGCAGCTCCTGTGAGCTGCCTCCTTCTGGACGTTCAGACTCATGACATTTAATTCCCCTCTTCACCTTATCATTCGTCTTGGCCCTCATTCTGCAGAAAGATAGTGTATGTACCTTGCTCTGGGTCCCCCAAGCCAGAAGTGGGTGATAGTCTTGGCTCCTTCAGCCTCTTCCACTTCTCGAATGTCATGTCCTGGAGACTTGGCCTGTGGACAGTTCTGAGCACACTTTGTGTGTCCCACCTTCGTGCCCTTGGCTCACTGATTTTGCTGTGCCTGGAATGTTCCTCCTCTGCTCTCTACCCAAAGAGTACCTTCCCATCTTGGGGGAGGTGATTGTCCCTCACTCAGCTTTACCAGACTGGGGAAAAAGGCTGATTGTGTTTCCGTATATTCCCCGAAGCAGAAGTTACGTCTGACAATACAATCTATTAGGCTCTGGAGGCGAGAGCCCGTATCTCATACGCAGAAACTGAAGTGTAGAGAAGGTTACAGATTCATCCAGGGCCGAACGGGAAGTCCAGAGGAGACCTGAGACCCACATGCCCCACTCTAAACCTCATGTGCTTTCCTCGTTTTGCGACCACAATTACAAGCATTAAACTGCATCCATTAGGCCATATCACAAACCTGCAGCTCAGGATACAACTAGAGGGCCTTCCATGTGTCCCAGTAAGGGGACATTGTTTGTCCTGGAAACAGGATCTCTCTATGTAGTCCTGGCTGTCCAGGATCTCATTCTGCTGACTTTCGACTCACAGAGCCACTGCCCCAGCCTCCCTAGTGCTGAGATTGAAGGTGTGCACCACCGCTGGGCCTAATGGATGCAGCTGGAATTTTCTTTGGGATGCCAACTAGCTCCCAAGTAGAGACACAGAAACTTATTATGACTCCTTGGCCTTCGCTTAGGCTCGACCTACTGGTTTTCGTAACTTCATTTAAACTGTTGCTGTTCATCTACGTTTTTGCCTCTGGACTTTTTAACCTTTCTTTCATTCTGTATGTCCTACTTTCCTGCTTCCTCTGTGGCTGGCTGGCTACACCCTCCCCCACTCACCCTCCCCCACTCACCCTCCCAGTGTCTCCATGATGTTTCTTTTCTTCTTCCCCTGTCCCTAAATTCCTCTTCCTCCTCCTTACTCTCCCTGCCCAGAAGTCCCACCTATACCTTCTCCCTCATTATTGACTGTTCAGTTTTTTATTAGACCAATCAGGTGCCTTAGGCAGGCAAGGTAAAACAGCAACACATCTTTACATACAAATGGGTCATCTTTTAGGGTCATCTGTGACATTTCCCTCTGCAAACCATCTTCTGCTGTGCATCTACATGATGCAATTTTTGTTGCTGTTTATTATAAAACTCGGGGACAAATATAACAACATGAGACAGTCACCATGGCCACAACACACCTGCCACTGTTTGCCTCCCGGCTCCAGAAGGGCTGCACAACCTCTTCTCCGGGGGCCACTTCTCAAACCAAATGCTCTATCCAATTAAACAACAGACCACAACTTAAACAAAATTCCCATAACATCCACAAATCTGAACACCAGACCAAGGGAGGGAGGGGCATGTCACTCTGGATATCTGCCAGGGAACCCCTCTAGAGATAACCATGTAGTCAAGCCATGAGCATCTCAGCCAGATCTGTCTCCAGTCTGTGTTTTGTTAGCTTGCCAGTCTTGGCCAGGTTTCTGAAGTCTCCTACACATAGGTTGGACTGGTGATGTAGAATACCTTAGGTGAATGGGACCACTTTTGGTGAGAGCTTTGTAAGGTTTATCCTTGTTTGCTCAGCCCTCGCCATGGTGCCTGGAGCTCAGTGAATGGTCAGTTGGAGGAATGGCACACTTGTTACGAGGGAATCTTGGTTACTTCTCTCATTCATAATAGGGAATTGCCCAGTTTGTCCCTGACCTTTCACCTTTGTCTTGCGTACTTTCTTCACTTTGATTCATGACCACAAGGACAAATACTTCCTTGTCCATGTTCAACCTAGAGCTTTCTTTTGGTCTAGAGAGCTGCATGTATGAACTTCCCCCAACCCTCAGTCCCTGCACTCCTTCTGTTCATACCATAAACACATTTGGTTCCTCCCACAGGGTAATCAAACGGAAGCAGCCCCTGCTTGAATGGTGTTTTCATGCCACCAGCAACTGTGTAACTACAGTGTGTCCCCAGTAGAGCAGTTCTGGGTATGATGACATAAAGCTCTAGCTACCTGGCCTGTGACGTGTGTGAGAGTAGGTGTTCCAGGGAGTACTTCCTGTGTGAATTGACATCTAAGCTGAAAAGTGCACTGTCACGGGAGCCAGGGAATGCGTGTTTGAAAAATGGTGGAGTCAACTTAGATGCCGCTGATGTGACAGGATGAGGACAGGCAAGGGTAGGGATGGCGAACTCCACCCGCCATCACTGAATTATTGTTGAGTGCCTACTGTGTGTCAGATACTTTGCAAAAGGCTGACAAGGTCCTGACTTCTAAGGAAGCCATTTTCTAGGGAGGGTACATGCAAATAAGTACATAAATAAAACAATTTCTGTTGGTAAGTGTGAATAAATAAAGTTTGGCACGGTCACGGGGCTCTCAGCCCAAGGAAAGATGAAGTAACAGGCCCAGGCGTCCTGGGGTATGATGCGGCTGTCAAATGGTCTTGAAGAGGGACCTGAGGGCATCAGCAGATGGCACTTAAAGTGGAAAAGGGTTAAGATAAAAAGGCAGAAGAATGGAGCACAGAGCTCTGGAGGTGCCTTGAAGATGATTTGGCATCTGTTTTGGGGTGACTTGAGGGCTCCGACATAATGGTGTCATCCATAAACTTGACTGCTGCTTCTCCTGACTTCTGGTGTTGAGAGTGGTCACCATTCCCTTGGCCATAGTGACCAGTGGCCTCACTGACCAGCTTATGGATGGCCATGCTTCTCCCTGGAACAGACTGTATTGAAGTATCAAGAACAGTAGGGTTCCTAACGCAAGCCCCCTCTGTCCTGTTTCCAACTCTGATAGCCTTCCCTGCTTCTCTCTTCCCATCCTCACCCATGGGAGACCCAGCAGATAGGGAGACCTATCCCCAGGATCCTAGCTGCCTGCCTCAGTCCTCACTTTCTTGGGTCATCTCTCCTAGGGAGTTGTGGAATAGACTTGAGGAATCTGTCCCTCTTCTAGGCGATCCTGTCTTCCATCTCCACTGAGACAAGAACCTAGCCAACAAATCTGACTGTTTCCACCTCGTTCCATTCCAAAAATGTTTGCTGAGCACCTGCTAGAAACCCCGAAGCCTTCAGACAGCCATTGCATCTGGCTGGTTGGGATTGGCAGATGAAGTACTTGGGCACTGGGTGTATCACAGACCCTCAGAGGGTGGAGAGAAGCGTAGGGAAAGAAGCATAGAGGCATAGCCTTGGGTCTGCTGTGTGGCCTGGAGCATGTGACAGCCCCTCTCTGGACTTTGGGTTCCCCGATTTGGAGTTCCCGATTTTGGTAGCACACTCCCTCTGGAAGGAAGCCTGAGGTGTAGAGTTGGGGATGGTGTCAGAGTTGTGGGGTCCTGTGTGCTGAAGATCCGAGTGTCCTCTGCTGTCCCCTGCTTGGTGATTGATGGTCCCAGTGGGCAGCTTCTCTGCCTGAGCTGCCGCAGTTGCTGAGAATGTGT